CAGGTAACACTGAGCAGACCCTGCACACAGACCAAGAGGCAGTTGTTTCAACAAAGATAATATACTGCATACTTTCAAATCAGTAAAGGTGTGCATCAGCGCTGCATCCTTTCACCATATCCACACGGTCTGTGTGCTGAGCTAATACAGAGAAGGTGAACTATACGAGGAAGGACGTGGCATCAGGATTGGAAGAAGACTCATCAACAACCTGCGTGATGCAGATGACACAACCTCGCTTGTATTAAATGAAGAGGGCATGAAGCCCTTATTGAAGGAGATAAAAAATTACAGCCTCCAGTATGGCCTAGAGGTAAGAAGCTGTGCTGCAATCTCGAAGGCAAGTGGTTCAAATCCATTGCCTGCTCTGTAGGAGAAGGATGGTCAATCTCCTCCCATGTGATTAACCGCCTCTGAAACCCCACTGGAGGGTCAGCTATAAGTCTGTTCCGACTCAATGGTCAACAACAGCAACAACAACAAAAGTATGGGTTATATCTCAACATAAAGGAAAACAAAATCCTCACAGTGTGACCAATAAGTCAACGGAATGATAATTGGAGATAAGACTGAAGTTGTCAACGATTTCATTTTACTCGGATCGACAATCAGTTATGGTGGTAGCAGTGAAGAAATTGAAGCAGGTGTTACACTGGAGAATCCTGCTGTTGAGGACCTCTGAGATGTCAATATAAAGACCAAGGTGCTTTTCTACAAAGATGGCACTGAAAGCCAAGAAGGAAGCCCCTGACCCTCCCAAAACTGAAGCCAAAGCAAAGGCATTAAAGGCCAAGAAGGCATCCTGAAGGGCATCCACAGTCAAAAAAAAAAGAAGATCCGCACGTCACCCACGTTCCGGCGGCCTAAGACGCTGAGACTCCGAAGGCAGCCCAAATACCCCCGGAAGAGCGACCCCAGGAGAAACAAGCTTGACCACTATGCCATCATCAAATCTGCCCTGACCACTGAGGGAGCCATGAAGAAAGCAGAAGAAAACAACAAACACACTGTGTTCATTGTGAACGTCAAGGCCAAGAAGCACCAAATCAAACAAGCTGTTAAGAAGCTCTGTGACACTGATGTGGCCAAGGTCACCATCTTGATCAGGCCTGAAGGAGAGAAGGCCTGTGTTCAACTTGACCCTGACTATGATGCTTTGGATGTTGTCAACAAAATTAGGATCATTTAAACTGAGTCCGGGTGGCTAATTCTAACTACAAATTTTTCTCACACACACAAAAAAGCCCTAGGTGAGTCTGATCCAAGCCCTGGTACTTTTAATTACTTCATGTGCCTGTCAAAACTGGAGAATAAGAAAGACTGAGGAAGAACTGATGGGTTAGAACTGTGGTGTTGGTGCAGAGTGCTGAAAATATGCATGGGTTGCTAAAAGAAGTATGTCTTGGTGAGTCCAGGGTGCTCCTTGGACGTGTGGAGGTAACGCATACTTTGCACATGCTACCAGGAGGGGTCACTACCTGAAGAAGGACATCACACTTGGGGAAGAGCGAGCCGTCACAAAGCCCCTTGAGATGGAGGGTCCACACAGGGACTGTAGGCTGGGACTGAGCACAGCTGAGGTTGTGACCACAGGTAGGAGATGGCCAGCTTTCGTCCTCTGGTGCACAGGGTCAACCAGAGCCAACTCAGCGGCACCTGATCTCACCCCCACCAGCACCCTCAGCTGCCCTTCAAGCCCGGAACTGAGCCCACCCACGTGACTCAAGGCACAGCCTCAACAGGCAGGTCCATAAGGTGACCATGATTTTTCCAGGGACAGCTGGAAGGCAGGAAGGACAGGAGAGGACAGACGGAAACGAGAAATGCAGGAGGGAGCAGGAACCTTGTGGGGTCACAGTCAGGGTCGGAAACCAAGCGTGCAGGAACTGTTGCCTGGAAACCACTTTGCCCTGTAAAACTTCACCCAAAGCACAAGAAGTTACAGAAAAATGCTTTAGCTTTTGTGGGTATTTATTTAAAATGTGATTTCTGGAAATCATAGTAAATACAGAGGTAACGTGTTGTCACTCACCATTGTCCACGTGCACACGTCACTGACGTGCCTGTGGCGCTTGTCACAGGTCCAACCACTGCTGGAGGTGGTTGACTCTTCCCTCCCGGATTAGGTTATATATATATTTTTTTTTACCATAATTCAATCTTTTTTTTCTATAATTATATTTTATTAATTTTCATAAACATCGTCCAGCTCCGATCACCGCCCCAGGCCAGTGGAGGCCTGAGCGTTAGAAAGCACAGCAGGGACTTCCAACCTCCTCCCAGCTAATCCTCCTCCAGAGATTAGCTTTCCGCTTAAGTGACCACAGTCATCTGAGTGGAGATACGAGACATTCGTCCCACAGGCTGCTGGAAGCAGCAGTTACCCCCACCCCAGAGACCCCGGCCTGCATGGGGCGGTCCTCCCACCCCCCAGGTTTCTGGGCTGGGGCTGCTGCCCAGGCCTGGGCAGGGATGGCCGTGCCAGTCGGCGGCATCGGAGGAATCTGCCGGGCGGGGGTTCCTGGGGGAACGAACATAGGAGGCATTTTTTTCCACCACGCTCCTTGACAACCAGCCTACACCTTTACAAAGTTTGACTGTGAGGTGATTGGTGATTACATTAGTCTGCCTCTCCTGTCTATCCCAACGGAGAGTCCTGCTGAGCCCAAGTTCGGAGCCCTGGTGGTGCTGTGGGTAAGGCACTCAGCTGGAGGTCTGAATCCTCCAGTGCTCAGGAGAGGAGGGAGCGGCGGCTGCTTCTGTACAGACGGACATTCCCGGACGCCTCATGGGCAGTTCTGTTCTGTCGGATGACCCGGAGTTGGGACTTTGATGGTAGTGGGATTCAGAGAGTGAAACAAGGGACAGGTGGACAGGGTGCTGAGTCACAGGGGAGAATCCCTTCCGAGAGTGATGACCTGCACAGGATTAAAAGGCAGCATTTGTCCAGGAAGAAAATGGAAGTGTTGTTATCACCGTCACCAATCAAAATGCAGGAATTGATGAACAGAGCATCAGTATGTTCTAGAAACTTCCACCCAAATCATGTTGTTGTTACGTGCTGTCGAGCCAGAGCTGACGCACAGCTGACCCTCTAGTGGGTTTTCAGAAGTTATAAATCACTTGGGAGGAACCTGCCCATCGTTCCCCCGTGGAGCAGCTGGTGGATTTGAACCGAGTGCCTTTGTGTTGGCAGCACAACTCCTTACCACTAAGCCATCACTATAAAAAGTTAGAAAAAGGGAGAACTAGACACCCCAAGCCGGAGAACCACTTGTGTCTTTTATACCTGGAGGCCAAGCCAGGTGTCCAGAAGGTGGCTGAGGACTGGGGCTCCCCACAGGACAGGGCCCATGCCCTCCAAGGACTGAGGGTCACATGTTTTCAGAAATTGAAGCTGTTGCTCCAGACCTGCTGGTGTGGTCACCAGCCCCTCATATGTCAGAGCTCTCCTGTCAAGAACTCAAGCAGGGCCTGGCCCTTGCTGGCCTGAGGTCACCTCCTGGGAAACCTGGCCCCCTGCCTGGTCCCACAGTCTTCCGTCCCCGCCCCCCCAATCTGCTCTCCTTAGGGGCCACATGCCCACAAAGATACCCCCACCACAGGGCAGATCCGGGACCAGAGACAAGATAATACACCTTCTACCCCCACTTTTCCACATGTGCACATACACATCCCACCCCAACAACAGTGACTTATTTCAGGTTTCAGTTGTATGGGAGGATACGACCACAGCTTGCAAACGCTCAGTCTTTGCTGATTGGTTCAGAAGGTGAACTTCTTTATTTTATGACTAGGACTCTGTGGTCACCCTCGGCACGGAGGGGCCTGGGCGGTCCTGGATGAGTCTCCTCCAGGATTATTTACTGAGATGCTATTTACATCCGTAGTACCTGCTGTGGGCGGGCGAGCAGGTGCTCAACTGGTCTACCTCCTGGTCTTCGAGGCGCTCAGAGTGACGGGGCCTTCACAGAGACAGACAGGGGTCTGTGGTCTGACCTCTGGTCCTCTCAGAGATGGACAGTGGTCTGTGGTCTGAGCCCAGGTCTTCTCACAGAAATGGACAGTGGTGTGTGGTCTGGTCTTGAGTCCCCTCACAGAGATGGACAAGGGTGTGCAATCTGCCCTAGAGTCCCCCTCACACACACAGACAACGGTCTATAGTCTGAGCTCAGGTTTTCTCATAGAGATGGACAAGGGGTCTGTGGTCTGACCTCGGGTCCCCTCACAGAGATGAACAGTGGTCTGTGGTCTAAGCTCAAGTCCCACTCACAGAGATGGATGGTTCTGGTCTTGGGTCCCTCTCAGATGGACAGGGCTCTGTGGTCTGGCCTTGCAGTTCTGGGGGCTGGAGAGGCCCAGGGCTGTGGAACCTGAAGCCCATTCTGCTGCGTGTGAAGAGTGATAAACAGATGGCCCAGTTTAATAGCCCCCGGACCAAGGAAACGCCATGACAGCTCTGCCCAGCCTCCTCCCACGGTCGAGGACAGAACGGGCCTGCATCTGGGGCAACGGTGGCCTGGGCCCGCCTCTGCCCTGTGGGCTGCCTGGTGTCCTCACAAGGCTGCCTCGTCACACCCGCCACCTGGAGCTTCCGCTGGCCCAGCAAGGCGGGAAGCTGGCCGGTCCTCAGGCCACGTGCTGGTGACGGTGACAGCAGCTCTGTTCACTTCCTGAGGGACTGGGCGCCTGGAGGAGAAAGGCAGAGACGTGCCAGCTCCGGCCTTGCACAGAGACCCTCTGTCCCACACAATCCCTCCTTTCACCCGCTCATGTGCCGAGGGGCACCCCCACCCCGGCTGGTCACCTGCACCCCGGCCAGGGCCGTCTTCACAGGAAGCAGGCCACTCGTGAGGGTCATCAGGGGACTGCTGCTGGCAGGCACTCAGGTGTCTATGAGCTTGCAGGACACAGAAACCCCCTGCTGTCCGAGCGGTGGCCCAGGCTGGCCAGTGCTCTGCTCACACAGCCAGCTAGCCCTGCTCCTGGGAGGTGGGGGGTCATTTACTGCTGCTGTCATCAGCAGAAGTGCACAGACCCCGTGCTTGGCCAATCTGCCCTGTGCGCTGGGCTTCCTCCAGGCCGCGTGAGGAAGCAGCTGGCCGGGTGGGCACCGTGAGGCCTGCACGGTAGGACAGCAGCGCCATCCATGAACCACACTGCTCCCGGGCCCCAGCTGGCCGGGGGTCCCGGCCCTCAGGAAGGGGAAGATGTCACGGCCATGCTCACATGGTGACATGTTTGTTCCACTTCCCTGGGGTTTTATCTTTAGCAAAGCCCTTCAGGAAGGTCCAGGCTGGGGAGTGGGGACAGGGAACAGGCCTGGCAGAGGCTGGGAGGGGACAGTGGCCCTTTCAGTGCACGAGCAGGTTGAGGGAAAGCCCCCTCAGTCATCCCACGAAGCCGTCTGTGGGCCCCTGGCAGGGACAGAGCCCAGCATCGGGCGGGACACTTGGTGTCTGACAACAGGGAGGGCAGATTCCCCGGCCCCCGCAGTGAGGGGCTCACTCTGCCGGCTACCCAGCGAGCAGAGGCCAAACCCAAACTGAGTGCCACCAAGTCAAGGCAGACGCTGATGACCCTCTACAAGGCTTCCAGGCTAAAAATCTTAATGCGGGGAGAGAGCCTCACCTTCCTCCCATAGGCAGCCGGCAGATTTGAACTGCCGACCTTTCAATCAGCAGTCCAGCATTTAACCTACTGTCCACCAAGGCTTCTTATGAGTGGTGGCCGCTGGCTACTTGACAAGCTGGGAAGATGAAGGAAGAACCGGAGGGCCTGGGCCCTGAGAAGTCACAGACCTTTTCTGTGTACCCAGTGGACACACTCAGGGCTGGCGGGGAAGTGGAGGAGGGCCCATCGCTGTGGTGGGGCTGCAGGTGGGCGGCTCAGGAACTGACTTACCCTGCAGGTCCCGGGCAGAGGGTCCCCCGGAGCTGGGGCGACTGGCCTGCTGGGGGCCACACCAGGAAAACCGAGGGGCCGGAGCCGATGCCTTTGGCCGCGGAGAGTTCAGGCCGAGGCTCTCCGGAGTGTGGGGCGTCTGGGGCTGGCGGGTGAAGGTCGATGTCAGCTCCCTGAAACACAGCGCACACTCTTGTCACAGCTGTGGATAGGTCAGGAGTCACCGAAGAGAAAGGAGGAGGGGTCCAGTGCTGGTCACTAAGGGACACCAGACAGGCACAGCCCTCGTATGGCGTGAGGGCAGAGCAAAGAAACACCAGCAAAACCCCCTGTCCATGGAGCCCCTGTTTGAGGGAAGCGGGGCACCAGGAAAAAGAGAAAGGAGAGATTGGGTCCAGAGCAAGAGGAGGAGAGGAAATCACCGATGCAGAGACTGTTATCAAAGGTCACTTCATCTCCACGACCCAGAGACCACTCAGAAAGGATCACAACAGAGGGCCAGGGTGGAGGAGAAAAAGAGGGCGAAATGCAATATCACTGAGAAAAGGTGGAGGGGGGCACTGGGCTCACGGGTCCAATAGAGAAAGGTGGAACCCCGGAGGCTATAGCTTGGAACTGAACTCACCCCTGTAGCTCAACCTTCAGCCAGTAACAGACAGGCTCTAAAAGTGAACAGCAACATCAGCTACAGACTCCTCAAACCAGTAACCAGAGAGATCAAAGAACAGAATTTGTGCAGAGCTAACACTCAGAAGTCCGGCAGGCGCAGGAAAGGACAGATGGAATCGGAAAACGCAGGGAGGATGTGTGAGAGCCCATCCCCCACTGCTGGGGAGGCTGGACTGGCCTGGGGGCTGCCCCTCCTGGGGGTTCTCAGAGGCTGTAAATCGCACGGGAGCAGATGCTCACCCTTCTTTCTCAGAGCAGCTGCAGGACCTGAACTCCATGCACTCAGGCTGGCAGCACAACTCCTCACCCACTAGGTCATCGGGATGTGGAAAAGTGCTGTTAGATTGTGGAGATTATAGTTAGTGTCCGGAAAAAAAAATGTGTATAAATTGTTGAATGGAAATCCAATTTGCTCTGTAAACTTTTATCCAAATCCCTCTCACAGACACACACAGAGACAGACACACACAGACACAGACACACACACTCCCTCCCTCTGCCTCCTTCCGTTTCCCTCTCCCTCTCCTTCTCTTGAGCTCTGGTGGTGAAGTGGTAAGGAATCATGCAAAGGTACGCGGTTCGAATCCACCAGCTGCTCTATGAGAGAAAGATGGGCAATCAATTCCTGTGCAATTTTCCTGCCTCTGAAAACCTGCTGGAGGGGCCATTCTCACTCAGTGGTGAATAATAACAACATTATCTCTTGTACACACAGGTGCACTTAAAAGACAGTAGGAGTGGGGATAGGAATTTGGGAGAAGATTGTTTTTATTTGTTTATTTTACAAGATTGAATTTTTTTTTTAAAGAAGGTGGCCAGGGAAGGTGTATCATTCAGAATAATGTCCCTAGAATAACGCTCTAGCTTCCGGACTCTTCGGTGAATGTGTTAATTACAACATGAACTGGTTTGAAGAGTGTTTCTCCTAAATCCTATGTCTGCTTGGAAGCAGTGAGTGGGATTCGGACTCAGTCTTTACAGATGTAATCAAGTTAAGATGGAGCTGGCCTGGATTACCGAAACACCAAATCCACCGCTGGCGAGCGGATTCCGATTCATAAACACCGCAGGACGGAGCAGAACCGCCCGCTGTGCTCCCTGGGCTGTCGTCCTGACAGAGCACGCGGCCCCACCTTTCTCCAGTGGAGCTGCCGGTGGGCGCGACCCACCAAACTGGTGGTCAGAGGCCCCTTGCTTAATCAGTGCCATCGGGCAGGGGTCTTGTACCGGATTTAAACTCAAAATAAAGCAAACTCATAGTGACTCTCTACTCACTGAGTTTTTGGGTCTGTAAATCTTTATGGGAGGAGGACTGTCCATCCTTCTCCCTCAGAGGAGTTGGTGGATTTGAACTGCCAACCATTAGATTAGCAGCTCAGAATGTTATGCACGGCATCACTAGGGGATTAAAAGGGATCCTTAATGTAATGACCGATTCATCCTGGAGAGGGTTAAACCAGGCTGCTCCTTGAAGGCAAGGATTCTGGGCCTTCGTCTGACATACTTTGGACATGTTATGAGGAGAGACCGGTCCTTGGAGAGGGACATCATGCTGGGTAGAGTAGAGGGACAGCGCAGGAGGGGAAGACCCTCTATGAGGTGGATTGATTCAGTGACTGGGGTAATCGGGATGGGTGTGTCAGAGACAATGAAATTGGCACAGGATAGAGCAGAGTTTAGGGCTGTTGTACATAGGGTCGCTATGAGTGGCAAGTGACTCGATGGCACATAACAACAACAACAACAACAACAATGTAATGACCTGGTGGTGAGCCCATGATGGGCACTCTGCCCTTTCCTGTGCCATCCTCCCAATCTGCACGATGCCCAAGCCCATGTTACAGTCACCGTGCCCTGAGGGTCTTCCTCTCTTTTGCTGACCCTTGCTTTACCAAGCTTGGCTTTTCTTCCAAGGACGGGCCCCTCCCGACAGCATGCCCAAAGTGCGTGACTCGGAGTGTCTCCATCCCTGCCTCTAAGAAGCGCGCTGGTTGTGTGACTCCAAGTCTCCCATCGTTGCCTCTAAGGAGTGCGCTGGTTCACTTTCCCCAACACGGATCGGTTTCCTTGGACAGTGCAGTCAATGGGACACTCAATGCTCTTCGACAACCCCACAGCTCAGTGGCACTGACTCCTCTCTGGTCCTCGTTACTCACTGTCCAGGTGAAAGACCATGACTGCGGCACGTGCTCTGCTGCAGAGGAAAGGTCTGCAGGACTGGCTCCAGTGCTGTCATCTGAGTGCTGCCTAGAACAATGACTCATGGGAATCGCTAAGGACATGCCCGGGCAAGTTCTCTGGTCACTCCTGCAAACTGCCTCTCCTCGGGGGCCTGGTGGTTATAATCACCCTTCAGCTGCACTGTCCTTGACAGCAAAGCCACAGCGTTGCTTAACTGGTCAGAGAGAACTGCAGGGACATCAGATTTTGTCAACAATCACTCTATCTGGAGTTAGAGTTCAACTATAACCTTTCACAAACCCAACTTCTGATTTTCAGGTCTAGTGTGGACCAGGGAGGCCCAATGGACATCTAACCCATAGAATTATACGATGATACAGCTCAAAACCACCGCTGTGTCGGAAATGACTCGACCCTCAGTGGGTTTCAGGGGCTGAAATCCCACTGGGGGAGACTGCCCGTCTCTCTCCCTCGGAACTGTGGGTGGACTCAGATCGCTGGAGGCCAGGTCGCTGGTCAGCAGTCCCCATGGGCTCTGCTGCCAGACCACCTTTAAAATGACAGAGTTGTGTTTTTTAAACCGCTGCGTTGACATTTATTTTGGGAGTTCGAGAATTATGCATGTTGTTGTGTGCCATCAAGTCAGAACCAATCACAGCAGACCCTCCGGCAGGTTTTCAGAGGCAGTCACTGCACAGGAAGAGATTGTGCATCCTTCTTTCAAGGAGCAGCTCCTGGGTTGGACTCACGTGCTGAGACTGCAGAACAAATTCTTATTATTAGGCCACCAAGAGAGTGGAGATTTTTGAACAATAGCACTGATATCACATACAAGCAAAATCTTGCTGAAGATTATCCAAAAACCACTTAACAATACATTGATAGAGAACTACTCAGAAATACAAGATGGGTTTAGAAGAGGCTGTGGCACTAGAGACATTATCACCAATGTCAGATGGATCCTGGCTGAAAGCAAAGAGTAGCAGAGGGATATCAATCGGTGTTTCATTGGCTATGCAAAGGCAATTGGCTGTGTGGATCACAACAAATTGTTGTTAATGGGAATCCCAAAACACTTGATGGGGCCCATGCGAAACCTATGCTTGAACCAGGAAGCAGTTCTCAGAGCTGAGAAAGGAAACACTGCATGGTTCAAAATCAGGAAAGGAGTGTGTCAGAGATGCATCCTGTTTCCACACCTTTTCCATTTATATGCAGAACAAATAAACTGGTAGCCTGGACTTTATGAGGAAGAATGTGGCATCAGGAGTGGAGAAAGCCTCATCGACAACCTACTTTATGCAGAGGACACAACCCTGCTTGCTGAGACTGAGGAGGACCTGAGGCGCTTGCTGCAGAAGATGAAGGAGAGCAGTCTCTGATATGGACTTGGACTGAAGCTCAACATCAAGAAAACAAAGATTCGGAGCTCTGGTGGCCTAGTGGCAAAAAGCTGCACTGCAGTCCCCAAAGTGCACCGTTCAAATCCACCAGATGCTCCGCTGAAGAAGAGGCAATCTCCTCCTGTGCCAGTCGGATGTGATTTTACAGCATACAACAAAGAGAGAGAAAAAAAAGCCACATACCAAAAGCAAAGATTCCCACCACTGGGCCAGTTGGCAGCATTATCATAGATGGAGAAGAGATTGATTGAGATTGTTAATAATTTAAGCTTACTTGGTTCCAATCAACATTCAGAGCACTAACAGGAAAGAAAAAGACAAACTGCACTGGGAAATCTGCTCTCAGGGACCTCTTCAGAGTGCTGAAGCACAAGGATGTCAGACTGGAGACTAAGGTGCACCAGATCCAGGCCATGTCTTCACAATCACTTGCTATGCATCAGAGAGCTGAACAACGACTGAAGACAAAGAAGAATCAATGCCTTGGAGCTGTGGTGCCGGGGAAGAACATACTATGGTCCTGGACAGGGTAAAACCAACTTGCTCCTTGGCGGCAAAGATTTTTCAGTTCTATCCCACATACTTTGGGCATGCCACCTGGAGGGACTGATTCTTGGAGAAGGACATCATGCTTGGAAGGGTGGAGGGACAGTGCCGGAGAGGAAGACCCTGGATGAGATGGATTGACATGGTGACTCGGGTAATGGGAGCCTGTGTGTTAGAGACAGTGAGACTGGCTCAGGATGGGGCAGGGTTCACAGCTATTGTGTACAGAGTCACAACTGACCCCCTGGCACAGAGCAATAACAACAGCACAGGAAACCATTATGAGGTGGGCCATCAGGGTAGACTTCTCTGGGAAGAAGACCTTTAACTCCAACAATCCCTCGAAGTTGGATTGCTCTGTTTTTCACCTGAGG